TTTTTGGACAAGAACCATTGCGTATTATGATGATTGTAGGTGGCATAAAGGGGGATAGCTGGATTATGGAGTTTTGTTTGGTGTTTGTTGTTATGCAGCAGATACATAAACTATAATGCTAGCTATTTAAATATAATAATAACAACTATTAAAGTAGAAATAAATGGCCAAAATAAATGCAAAGATAAAGAATACTAGGAATTAAGACACAAATACTGGACGCCTTTCAACCCATTTCATTAAAACGGTCAAGGTCTTTCCTTTGGGCCCTACTAGAATTAGTAGTAAGTCCAATATGATGAGAAGCTAGACATTCATGGGCTTGAGGATCAGTCAGCTCGGCATCAAAAATACCCTACCCATTTATTTCAGTTTCACCCTTTCCCCTTTGTTCATTGCCCTGACCAATCCTAGGAAAATGGTTTTGGACCCTATTTTGGTTTGACCTAATCCCTACTTCGCGGAATTGAGCCCTAACCATTGCCGCCTTCCTTTCTCCACCATTGAACCTCCTTCATCAGTCGTCATAGGGTCTCCATTCTTGAATCCAACCACAAGAGAGTGAACCTTCCCATTCATCGGACCTTCTCGGCTCATCATAAGGCTACGCGATCAACCTCTTAGTTTTCCTCACTGCCACTCGCTAGATTGGAGCTAGGAGAATCCTTACTTCTTTGGGAGACCTGTCCATCATCAGTTAATTACCACCCGTAACAATTCTAGTTGAGTTTCTAATTCGTTCAAGAGTCATGGCTCTCTCATAGCGGTCAATATCAGCCAAAGTCTCTTCTTGCTCATGGCCTGGGTGCACCATCTCTAGGGCTGCATTTGTTAAATTAATTTCGATTTTGTTGCCTTTGTTCAAAGAGATCTATAAAAACTAGAGAAAAAATGATAAAAACTAGAGAAAAATGATAAGCAATCTGTTGTGTAATATTTTGTGTGTCTATATTCAATGGGAATATCACAAATATATACAGAGGTTGGTGTTCTAAAATAGGAAGATAAATATATTACAATATTCAACCTATTCTAAAGTAGGAAGATAAATATATTACACATAATGAGACTGATCACAAGAATATTTCTCAATACTCCCCCTCAAGTTGGCGAGTGAGTATCATGAAGTCCCAACTTGCCACTTAAGTAATGGAATTGTTCACTTCCCAAAGGTTTGGTAAAGATGTCCGTAATTTGTGAACGTGATGGGACATATGAAGGTGCTATTACTCTGTCTTGTATTTTCTCTCACACAATTTGACAATCTATTTCAATATGCTTTGTGTGTTCATGAAAAAGGGGATTTTTGGCAATGTGAAGAGCCGTTTGGTTGTCGCAAAACAAAGAGGCTGGCAGATTTTGTGGTACTTTGAGATCTTGCAAGATATATGGTATCCACATAATTTCCAAACATGTTGCAGCCATAGCTTGATACTCTGCTTCAGCGAAAGATCGAGCTACATTAGCTTGTTTCTTTGATTTCCAATAAATTAAGGAATTTCCTAGAAAGACACAAAATCCTGTAATAGAACGTCGAGTCGTCGTACAACCAGCCCAATCTGAATCATAGTAAGCCCTCAATGTGAGATCATTAGAGGAAGGAAAAAATAATCCTTGACTAGGATTACCTTTAATAAATTGTAAAACTCTCAGGGCAGCTTCCTAATGCGGTTTCCGTGGATTTTGCATGAATTGACTTAGCATCAATACAGAATAAACTATATCCAGCCTTGTCACCGTGAGGTAAATCAATTGCCCTACCAACCTTCTATATTTGATGGGATCTTTCAATAAATCACCATCCTCATGATTTAATTTTAAATGCTCCTCCATTGGAAAAGAATTTTGATGAGATCCAAGTAATCTTGTATCTTTCAAAATATCTAATGCATATTTTCATTGAGAGACAAAAATTCCTTTTTTGGATCGAGAAACTTCAATGCCAAGAAAGTATTTTAGATTACTAAGATCTTTGATACGAAATTGTTGCAAAAGATAATCCTTGAGGGACTTAATAGCTTTTTCATTGTTGCTTGTCACAATAATGTCATCTACATAAATAAGCACTACAGTAAATGAGTTCCCTATGGATTTGGTGAATAAAGAGTAATCGGCCTTTGACTGGGTGAAAGCTACCTTTTGAATGGCGTGAGAGAATTTTGCAAACCAGTTGCGGGAAGCTTGCTTTAAACCATATAAGGATTTATTAAGCCGACATACCATATTCTCCCTCTGTCGATGAAGACCAAGGGGAACCTCTTTATAGACAACCTCATCAAGATCGCCGTGAAGAAAGGCATTTTGAACATCCAGTTGATGTAGGAACTAATGATGTGAAGCAGCAATGGATATAAGACAATGAACAATGGTGATTTTGGCGGTAGGGGAAAAGGTTTTGAGATAATCAACTCCTTCAATCTGGGTGTAGCCCTTAGCAACAAGACGGGCTTTGTACCACTCTATAGAACTATCAGAATTATATTTAATCTTGTAGACCCACTTGCATCCAATGGGCTTATGATTGGCAGGAGGAACCAAGGTCCAAGTTTTATTGTGTATAATGGCATCAAGCTCAGCCTGCATAGTATCTCTCCATTTAGGATCAAGGACTACTTGAGAATAGTTAGTGGGCTCACAGAAACCAGAAATATTAGCAAGAAAAGAAAAATGAGAAGGGAAAAGACGTGAATAAGATAAAAAATGAGAAAGAGAATGCCTTGTACCTCGAGTAGAACTGGACAACGGGGTTAATGAATGATTGGTGCCAATGTGAGCAAAATTCATATAATAGTTTGCATGCCAGGCTGGGGGTTTATTAGGGCGTTGTGAATGGTGAGTAAGTGGGAACTATTTGATGGAAGTGGAGTAATTGGTGGATTGGTGTCGACAATTAAGGAGTGTAAATCATGAGTGGAATTTGCGGGGGATAGAGTAGAAGTGGGATTGGGTTAAGTGGATTTTGGTGGTGAGAAGGGTGTTGGTGATATGGACAGGGAGTTGTCAACAAGAGGGCTTTGGATGTAAGATGGGTCTGATATGGAAAAGTCAAAATCAGAGGCATTGTTGAGTGGAAGTTGTGAGGATATAGTTTCTAATGACTGGTCGGTGGGTATTGTACTATAAGGAAAAGTTTGTTCATGAAAGCACACATCTTGACTGACAAAAAATTTTCTGGTTTCTAAATTAAATAATTTGTTTCCTTTTTGTCATGTAAGATAGCCAACAAAAATGCAACGACAAGCACGGGGGGCAAATTTGGGAATGGGATGAGTGATAGTGGCGTAATACAAATAGCCAAAAACACAGAGATGATCATAAGATGGTGGATGACGGTATAATCGTTCAAAAGGTGTAATATTAGAAAGAAATGGCGTGGGCAAGTAGTTAATTAAATAAATTGCGGTTAATACACATTCACTGCAATAACAAATTGGAACATTAGACTGAAAAAGTAAAGCACGAGCGACCTGTAAAATGTGACGATGCTTGTGTTCGACAACTCCATTTTGTTGTGAAGTATAAACACAAGATTGTTGAAATTCAACTCCATTTTGAAGAAAAAAAGAACTCAGAGAAAGAAATTCACCACCATTATCACTACGAACAATTTTAATGTGAGAATGAAATTGATTGGAAACAAAATTAAAAAAGATCATGAGCAATTTTGGATCATCAGATTTATGTGACCTAAGAAATAACCATGTGCAACGACTGAAATCATCAACGATGGTGAGGAAATAACGTGCACCTGAATGTGTTGTGTGTTTATGTGGTCTCTAAATGTCGCAATGTATTAATTGAAATGATAAAGTAGAAGAAATTGTACTAGATTGAAAAGGTAGATGAGTTGGTTTTGCTAGCGGACGAACATTATAATTATTTGAAAATTGATTGTCAATAATAGGAGCAAACTTAGAGATGGAGCACAAGCGGTTAGGAGATGGATGACCAAGACGATAGTGCCAGGTGGTATTGGTGGTGGTGGTAGAACATGTTGTAGGTGACTTACGGGTTGGTGACATGAAATAGAGACCATCACTTTGCTTACCCCAACCAATCATCTTCCCCATAGCCAAGTCCTACAAATGCAAAAGTCAAGGAACAAAATCACACAACAATGTATTGACTTGGTGATTTTACTGGCAGATAAGAGATTTAGATGAAAAGAAGGCACATGAAGAACATCATGTAAAACAATATCTTTATTGAAAAGTATTGTGCCAGCAGAATCAATGGGGACACTAGAACCATTAGGTAAATTCACAACTCGTGTGTTAGGTGGATGTGAGTGAGCAAATAAGTGGGGTTTGAAGTAATATGGTTTATGGCACCACTATAAAAAATCCAACAATCTGAAAAAATAGAGTGAGTAGAAGGATGTTTGTGTAGACCTGTTGTATTGGTATAATCATCAATATTACCCTTGGATGTGTGTGCCATATTGGCCATGGTAGTGGTCAATTGTTGGTATTGCTCAGTTGAAAGGCTTGGAACTATCTCCTGCAAATAAGTGTTATTGGTGACATGGGAAGTAGGTGCATTCTGATTATTCTGGAAAGATTTGTGAGAATTGGAATCAATGCTGACTTGAGACTCAACTGGGGTGATAGATGATGCATGTGTAGCGTGAAACTAGTTGGATTGTGAGCTTTGACGGCTGTTGGTCATTTGGTGTGGCTGGCAAATTTTAGGCTTGAAATTGGGATCATGGCGTGGATGTCCAGGTGGGAATGCATGTAATTTGTAGCATTCTGCAATGTTATGGTTGTCTTTCTTGCAATATCCACAAAACAGTTCACTTGTGTTGACATTAGAAGAAGGGTGAGAAGCCAAGTTACAAGAGAATTTGCGGTTGGAATTCTTGATATTTTGTATAGCTGCTACGACTGAAAAATTTCCAATAAGAGAATTGTTTCTTATTTATCTTTGTCTCTCTTCTTAAGTAACTAAGTTGTATGCTTCGCGCACATTAGGAGGAGGCTTCATAAGAAGAAGTGTCCTCAAACGACATTGTAGGAGTCATTGAGACCTATAAGGAATTGCATTAACCGGTCTTGTTCTTTTTGTTTCTCTATCTCTTGCACATCTGGGTGTGTGCTACTTAAAGGAGGGCGATAAATAGAGAGTTCATCCCAATATGATTTTAATTTGGTGAAATAAACAGCAATACTAGAAGTACCTTGCTCATGTGAGGCAATTGATTTTTGGATTTGATAAGTTCTAGGTGCGTTTCCTTGAGCAAAGGGCTGATGGAAATCTTCCCATACTTCATGGACTATGGATGCAAAGACAATGCTGCATGTAAGATCAGGGGCTATAAAGTGAGCGAGCCATGAGAGAATCATATCATTGCATCGTTCCCATAATTCATATTCATCAGGCTGCTCAGTTGGTGACAGGGCCTTGAATTTACCATTGATGAAACCAAGTTTGTTCTTGGCATAGAGAGATATTTTGACAGATCGACTCCAGGTAGCATAGTTTTCTTCATTGAGCAATTCGGTGATGAGAGATTGGTTGGGATTTTCTCCATGGTGGAGGAAATAACGACTATTGATAATGGCAAAGGAAGTGTGGATTGGTGTGGAAGAATTTGATTTAGTTGAGGAGGTCGGAGTTTCCACCATATTGAAGTTGAAGGTGAATCGGGAGGAAAGGTATGTGAAAAAAATGTTAGGCAATCAAGAGCTGGTGCTTTGATACCATGTAAAAACTAGAGAAAAAATGATAAAAACTAGAGAAAAATGATAAGCAATATGTTGTGTAATATTTTGTGTCCATATTCAACGGGAATAGCATAAATATATACAGAGGTTGGTGTTCCAAAATAGGAAGATAAATATATTACAATATTCTACCTATTCTAAAGTAGGAAGATAAATATATTACACATAATGAGATTGATCACAAGAATATTTCTCAATAAGATCAATCCAGATGTTTCAATGTCCTCTTTGTCAGTCATAATCATACCTTCCCCCATTATTTTCCTAATCCCCGAGCTAGTCCCTAACTTCAAATCCTGTCGAGAGTTCTGGTTCTTCACCCCCAAGTTACCTATATCCCCTTTCTTCGTCTTCATATTCTAGACACGTTTCGATGCCGAAATCTAACACTTTCCCAAGGACAATCCGCTATTTCTATATCGAGTTACTATAGCACAGATAGTTTCCTATCGAGTTACTGTAGCATGGAGAGTTTCCTATCGAATTTTTTGAATGATTGGAAAGCATTAACTATTGTTCGTAGAGCATAGTTAATTTTCCAATCATCTATGTATTAGATATGGATGTAAAGGATGTTGGGTGCCTATATATTAGTCATATATGCAAACTTTTCTTATATGGAGGTTCACCATCAATGAAATGTTTTTTAAAAAATTAGTGTATTATTGTTTATAATTTGTATTATTAAAGTAACGGCCAAGGATGTAGCCACACTATTGCATATGAAATTGAACCCACTAAAACTTTGAAAAAAAAATCAAAAAGGCTTTATATTTTATTGTATTTACAATTTTGACCCTACTTAAAATTCTATTGAACCCACTCAAACTTTGAAAAAAAAAAGCCTTTATATTTTATAATATTTATAATTTTGACTCCCTTAAATTCATATTGACCTCACAAAAGTTTATTGCAAATTTATCAATTTAAATGTTTTGAACCCACTCACTAAAAATCCTAGCTACATCCCTAGTAACAACTATAACATTTTTTATACATGCTATAACATATGCATGGATAGGACTTTTAAAATGTTATAGAAAATAATTTTGTAACATTTACAAAATGCAATGAATTATCTATAGCACTTTTTAAAACTTTTGTATCACTTTTAATATGTTATTAATGACTCTTTTATAATATTTTAATAATGTTAAGAAAAACCAATCTACAACATTGTAAAAATGTTAAGAATGTTACAAAAAACTAAACTATAACAGGTTAAGAATGTTACAAAAAACTTATTTATAACATTTATGTAGTATAACCTAAAATCATTTTTAACTACAAATAAATGCTATAATACACTTAATAACATTATATTACACTTATGGAAAGTTCATTTATAACTATCAATAAGTGCAACAAAATAATTAGTAATAACATACAAAAAATATTACCAATATCTATTTTTTAATAACATGGGCTATAACAACATATTTATAAATACTACCATTTACTTACGGTAACACTTTTTGTGTGTTACGGTAGGTTATTTTTGTTGTAATAATTGCACATGTAATTTATATAAATTAATAAATTAACATGCCATGACCTAATCTCCATTCATGCAACATTTGATCATCATCAAACATCAAAACAATTAAAACACCATCATACTTCATGTTATGGCCGAATTTTAACCTAATTTTTGGATGAAAAATTATCTCACCCTAAAGCAAAATTCGGCCATCTCTCTTTCATCTTAGTGGTGGGCTAACGTTGAGGAATCTTCATCAATTTTGAAGATATTTCATCTCCAATCAAAGATTCAAAGGTTGAAAAGTTTCATCTCCAATCAAAGATTCAAGGGTCGAAAAGTTTCATAAGGTATCATGTTCGACCCTTTTAGTTTCAATAACATATCATATGACCTTATACCAAGTTTTACACCATTTTTACCCCACTAAGCATTAATTATTTTAGGTTACAAAACATATATATATAATGCTAAGTCATGTTCATATATGTCTTCATTGAAATTTGACATGCTATGCTTTGCGTCACGGCATCTCATAGTTGGCGCAACAGTCGGCGCAACGGTTCCACATGTTGTTGAAGCAATTCACAGTATTAACGCAGCACATCCAACGTTTAATCCTACAGAAGGAGAACGGAATTTAAAAAAAAAAATAGAATAAATATATAGTTTATATCGTAGGCACATAAAAAAACAACAAATTTAAGAGAAATAAAAACTAAAGAACCATCAAAGGCATACCATTTATCGCAAACACTTTCCAGAGGTGGTGCTGGTGGTCCCGCTGCTGGAGGAGCTTGATCAAACGAACTTGGTGGCGGCTGAGGAGGTGGAGGAACCATCTGAGATGGAGGAAGACCTTGAACATAGAAACCTGCAGGTTGCTTCTGATGACGAGGCTGAGGAGGAGCCATATGAAGATGGTAGAAGAATGGCAGTGCTGGGTGGCATTTGTCAGCATTCAAAATAGCACGATGCCACGCGCTCTTATATCTCCCATTACTCAATGTCTGCATTAATAATTTCAGTAGCTTGAAATCCACCATTGACTTATAAAAATTAATATAAATCTAAATTTAAGTTGAAATAGTACCTTAAATTGATCACCAATGCTAATGACAAAAGCATTTGCGTGGGGTTTAACAGCAACCCATTCATCATCTTTCAGAACTTGAAGGCCAGAAACTTGAAAATCTTGAAGTAACATGGTAAAAGCATTTGGATCAGTGTGGCCAAGCAGCCGCCCTGGTTCTAGACATGCTGGGTTCACAGCCATGTGTTGCAACTGTTCACCCAACACTTCTTTTATGCATTCTTTATCCAAACCTAAGCTCTCTAATATTAATTCCTCCAGTCTGAATGCAAGTTCTAGAACTTCTTTGAAGTAATTGCTTACAATTTCCCTAACAATTTATGTAACAAAATTTACCATCAGAAAAAAAATTACAATTGTTATGCCTCAAAAATCATGTTTATGTCAGTCTAATAAATGTCTTTTTGTATTAGCTGTCAAGCTCATATCTCCTTAAAAATATTCTTACCAACCCTATCTCCTTTCAAGAAATGAATGGATGAGAGTCTTCCATGTGTCAAGACAACTTGCAAAACACTCATTACATTTGAGTGCAAGGATGTATAAATTGGCACTCCTCTTCCCGAAGAGGGGGCTAGGCATATGAGAGCTAACCATAGATAAGAGCTCAATTTTTTCTCTCTGTAAATACTATATTTCTTCATCTTTGTATGCCTTCTAGGCAATATCATTGAAATAGTCAGAGATCAATAAAATAACAGTGGATGTAAGAGTCGTTTATTGAGCATCCAAACCACTATAAAAACCTCTCTTGTCAGCCATTATTTATGTTTTCTACAACATATATAATCTCAGTTCCATATTCAAATCTCATAGATCCATCACGTGTGATTCCTAAATCTGCTTAACGATTCTCACGTACGAGTCATTGGCGTCCAAAATCAAGCATCAACAGCAATGATATTATCAAAGAGTTGTGAACTAATATGTTCTTTTGAATTACTTTAATGATTGATAGGGATAGACCTAAAAATTAATTTTAGAGGGGGCTAATTCAAAATAATAAAATATAAAATAAAGGAAAAGTAAATGAACGAGATCAAATCTAAAAAAATTAATTAATACAAATATAGGATAGTCAGCAAAGAACCAAATCAAATGAATGAAAAAAAAAAAATTAGAGTGGAGTCACCAGCCCTCACTCGTTACTATATATGTTCGTCCATGATTATTGATTTATTTTATATTTAATTTATTGAAATTATTAGATTTTGTATTGCTATAAAATTTATATAGGGTATATAATATTTGCCTTAAAATCACCGCTTAAAAGAAATTATATTATAATGAAAAGATGACGGATATGATAAGAATAAGATAGTGGGGATTATTAAAAAATACTGTTTAAAAGTTAGACAATTATGTAGAAATCCATCTAGAAGTAGCTGAACAAATTAATTTCAACAAATAAGCCGATATCTTCATCATCCAAAGTTTTAATCAAATCAAATAAGCTGAGCAATAAGAGCATGGATATTAAAATAAATCTCTTTTTTTTTACATGGTTTATAAGTTTTTTTTCCAGTCAAACCATTCAATACCGTTAGACTTACAATTTTTTTATATACTAACGTTGTAAAATTAGAGTATTTAGTACTTGCTCGAAGGTAACAAACAACCCAGACAATAGAAGAGAACAAAATGAAAAAAATAAATAAACATACACATTAATTAAAAGCTTGTTTGATTCGGCTTATCTAATGGCCCAAAGAGCTTATTTAAAGCTATAAGCACTTTTGAAATTTTTTTAGGTTACTTGATTACATTTCAAAAAGTGCATATTACATTTAAAATAAGTTATTTTACAGTTTATGGGAGAAGATAAAAATCCCATAAGCTCTTTTTGAGCTTATTCAAAGTATTAAAATTTTAAAAATATCCTTATTATTTTTTTAAATTTTGACTGAAATTATTCTTAAATATTAAAAGCCATTTTGATAAATTAATACTAAAAAACTGTGTTACATTTTCCTAACTAGACAACTAACTTCTTCACAACAGATATATTTTCATAAGTTTTACTTCAATAAGCTCTTATTCTATAAACTATATTGGAATAAGTCGTACCAAAGAGACCTTAAATATGGTTGTCAAATAAAGTCTATCTTCACGAAAAAGAACTACTAAGAAAAATAAATAATTGGTACAAGTTTATAGCTCAAGTTTAAACCCAATAAGCAAGTCTTCAACAAACCCAAGCTTTGAGCCCCTGTACATCCACTCCCTGTTCACACACTCAGTTCTCAAGAGAAATTATGTTTTTCTCTAGCTCATTTGCTCTCTACTTGTTTAGTACTATATCTGACCTTTATTACACTCTTTCAGACC